ATTTGGGTTAGCAAATTGGGGAAAGAGAAAACTGACTGCTTAAGTGGAGAATTGTGAAGGAGTCTGAAACACTGCAAAAAGCAACATATGCAAAATCACATACACAAGCAGAAAATGCATTAACCTTACAAGGACAAGCTCATGAAGATTAATGCATAGACATTGATTAAACCGAGCTAAGAACATAAACATACGCAATGAAGATCAGCTTGCTACTTGTATGAGTGTTAAAATGGTGTGAATGTTTGATAAAATACACTTAAAGCTTGGAGATGAGGAATAACTCAAAGAAGCTATATGACAGAGGGAGTGAGTTATGGAAAAGAAAAGTGATTAAAGTAGGTTTTATAAGAGTGACTTGGGGGTGCTCTTGTACTGATTGATCAATGCAAGTGATTAGTATAGAAAGAAAATGAAAGTAATTCAATAAGGTGGTAATGTTTAAACATGTATTTGTATTGTTACGGCAACTTCTTGAGATGTGACTAAGTATGCAAATTAGCTGGAGTGAGTGGTAACGAAGGAGCTTCCTGTGTGTGTGTATGACTGAGGAAATAGAGCAGTGACTGAAGAGGATTACTTGGTGAAATATAATGGTAAAGTTGTATTGGGTTTATATCTTATGCTGAATCTAAGTATGTTAAAGTGCATAAAGGGGGCGATTATTGTGTGCAAATTGTGTGGTTTTAACAAGATTTTCGGTGTATTGAGGAGGTGAAATTATGTCAGTTGACCTGGGAGTGTCAGGACTCTGGTGGCAAAACTTTGTGTGTTTAAGATTTTTGAGGATGTTGTTGGGGTGATGGGTTGATTCTGTTTGTTAGGTTTGGGTTGTTTTTGTTTTTATTTTTAATAGAGGGAGTTTTAGTAAACATGGACATGTCTAGAATTGGCCCCATTATTTTTGTAACAGTGCACTTAGAGAAAACCTGTCAGGAGTTTTTTTGTGTTTTGTGTTTTGATGAGCTAATAATCAGCTCTCTTTTTCTCATTTTCGTTCTAAGCAGGCCTGCAACAGTGAATAACAGCGCTGACAAATTCTCGGGAGAGCAAATATAAGGTGGGCTTTCCAGATTACAACTGGCTGAGGAGAAGGTCCCACCTGTGGGGACCTAATCAGGTTGTAAGTCCCTGTCTAAAAGGATTGTAGCGATTCAATCCAGTCCAAAAGCATAAAGAACTATTTTCCTAAAACAAAATAAGACAAATGAATGAGCTCATTTTGCTGAGGGTGGAGAATCTGATTACTTGCACGGGAGTCTCCACTATTAGCAAATACCTGGTGTGAATGCATGTGAGTGAATTTGTGTGACTGGACCAAAGTTGGGATGACTAACTTTGTTAACTTCCTAAGCTTGGGTGAAGCATTTTTAGTTTGACACATTATATGTGTCAAAAAAGGGGGAATTTAAGGTATAAAATAGGTTTTAGGATCATTTTATGATTTTGGGTTTTTTGATAATTTAGATATGCTAAAACTGAAGCAGAAATTGTTATTGTTATGTTAAGGTTAAGGATTAAAGTGAACTGAATCCTGTTTAGAAGATAAAATGCCGGTGTTTATAAGAAGCAGTGTACAAAACTTTAGGGAAACTGTGGGAATAAAAGATATGGGGAAATTGGTGAAGATTGTAGGAGTAGAAAATGTTTGATTTCTTTTTTGATTTCTAGAAGAAGTGGTTATAATGTAGGCTTACACATACAGATATTACATAGAGTTATTTTTAGGATAGAGGAGAGAGCTTATACGTAGAAATGATTTTTACACATTGCATTTTGTGCTAGTTAAAGAGTTGTGGCTCAGTCTATTGAAAGTTAGAAGCTTCACCGAGCGCGACGTCTTGGTTGATATATTGGGGGAGACTTGGAGCATAAAGGGGTGCACATGCTTACAAACACATAGAATCCATAAACCTGAAATTCATTTAGCTTATAACTGAATCTGGCTGAAAGAGGAGAAACTTGTTGATATAATTCGTGCCATTAACAAAAGGGGGCCACTGTAGAAGTTAACTCTAGTTTATAGAGGAGCAAAATGAAATAAAGATGCTATATCAACAACAGGTTATGACACAGGAAATGTGAGTTTTAAAATGTTAGTGTTAACACACAGAAGTTGTTTCTAGGCAGCGTTTAGCTCTGATGAAATTTATGCATGAGTAATTGCTTATATGTTTAAACTTAATTGATTAAAATGGTTGTTTTCTTTTGATCTTTCAGTAGAATAGGCGCTTATAATGATTTTCTTGTGATTTTATGAAAGGTGACTTTTAGGTCAGAGTGGAGGCCCTTGCAGCAGCGACAGTTTTGTGTACAGGATGTTGATGATTTGATAAGTTAGGGAGGCGTAGGAAAAGGTGTTTTGTTCCCTTTGCAGGACATCTCGGCGACCATAGGGGTGAGGATCTTGGAGGCCCGAGACCTGACGTACCACAAGGGAGAGACCCAGAAAAACCTAATCTCACGCATGGACTGTTCTTAAGGGGGAGCTGACGTTTATTACTGGACCACGTAGATGACATGAGGTTGTTGTCTGATTGGCTGAGCCAGAAGACTGCTAGAGAGGGTCGGAGCAATGACACACGTAAAGTGTGGTGACGCTCTTTGAGGGTCACCAAGAGAGGGAATGTGAGGGATTAGAAATATATTTTACTGCTATTGTTAATCATCATCATCATTACCATTGCATTAATAATATAATCTGCAGTATTGATATTGTATTCAGATGTTTAAACATATTGGTACCCAATTAGCCTTTATTACAGGTGCAGTTATAACCACTTTAAACTGTTGAGTTGATCTATAATCCTAAATGCTTTTGAATGCTTGTTATAATCTGAAATGTGTACGTGCTGGCCTTCTGTCTGGTGGAAAAGGTTACAAGTTGAAGCTGGTCATGATGACACACAAACACACAGTAGACTTTATCTCATTTATAGGTGAGAGGTTAATCATGTTTGCTTGTAACTCTAAAATTGTCTCTGAAAAAAGAGGAACAGTTTCTTGCAGGGTGTGGGTCTGGTTTCCAGACAAGAAGTGAAAGTCAGAAGGCTGACAGCAAGCATCTGCTGTGGAGATGGAGACAATGTTATTTTTAAACTGTCATTGTGGTTTTGAAACCTATGTATGAACTGTATCTGAGTGACGTTTAAGGGCGTCAGTAAATTTAAGCCCTGAAAGGTATAAAACACCTGCTTATGCTCTGTAAGTCGGGGATCGGCGCTGTCTGCGTACAGCGGGCGGTCTTCCCACGCGTGTCATTAAAATCATTGTTTGACTCCACCCGGCCGGACCAGTGTTGTTATTTTGGAAGTAGATTACCTCCTCTATCCCTCCTCAATATTGAACCTAACACGTCCTATTTATTCCAATCCGGATGTTACTGTCCCCCACTCTCCTCACCTAGCTTTCATGTGGGGACGTAACAACAATAAACACAACACCACAGTAATAACCTAGATAACTGTAACTAACAGTAAAAAACTATATATTGAATGTTATTGTGCAGTATGCAGGACCAACAGCGCACAGTGTGCTTTCAGGTAGCAGCTAAGAAAGGTTTAAGCGTGCGCTGATCCACGTGGATCAGCGCGCTTGTATTCAGAAGGTTTCTCCATGTAATGATCTGCTAGAGGGTGTAGGGAGCCATAACCCTGCCCCGAGGGCATGAAGCAGGCATGAAGGCCAGGCCTCAGAAATCCAGAGGCTCCCAGAGTACGACAGTTCAAGGAGGACCATCAGAGGGGCAACCGTGCCACCCTCCTGGAAAGAGCTGAGGAGAGCCCCAGACTCTGGGTGACCCAGCAGCCACGGCGCAGAAGCCACAGGAGGCTGCAGTTCAGTTCACTCTCTTCTCATTACTACATATGAATCTGCCTGGGCTGGGAGCCACCGCTGCTATTCTGTTCTGAGACCATCCCCAAACGTTTGTCTTAATTAATGCTTATGCCATCTTTATGTATGTGAAATGCTTTAAAATCTAAATGAGGATGTGGTCCAGCTAGAGAATTACAGTGCAGAAGTTGCTGTGTCTTGTTAAAGGTGTAGTTGTAGTTCATGGGGGTGGGATGTTTTACTTTGACAAACATGTTTCTGCAGTTTCAGTTGTTCATTTTCATTGCATGAGTTGCATGGTTAGTTGAAGAAGCTATTGTAGTAACTATTACCGTACTTTGTTGCAAATGTTGTTGTAGTTTCACTTATTAAATTAGTTGCAGAAGTTATTATTACGGGATTGGTGTGCTTGCAATGTTTTACACGTGTTGCACAGCATGCAATCTTGTTGTTTTTAAGGTTGCTGCAGTTACAGTGGTTATTCAACTGCAAAACGGATCCTTTTTTTTGTTGTCTTTGTTTGGGTTTTGCTTCCAGAGGTTTCTGTAGTTGCCATTGATTGTGTTAGTTGCAGGTATAGTGTCAATGGTTGCTTGCATCACTGCAGGTGTTTTGTTAGTTTCACAGGTTAGTTATCCTGCAGATTTTGATAATTGTTTTAGTTGTGGGAGTTGCATTGTGTAGGCAATGCTGTAGACACAGTTTTGCATTTTTGGCAATTTCAGTGACAATTTTAGACGTTGTTCACATTAGATTTGTTAGTTACATTGGTTGCAGATATTGCTGTAGTTTAATTCATAAGTCATTTATTTGTATGGGTTGCCGTAAACGCTGCAGTGAGAGAACTGCTGAATTCATTTAAGTCTCCTCTTTAAAGGCATGATTGATCAGAAATTGCCACCTAAAAGCTGAACTGACCAAAATTTTTAAATTTAAGTCTCATAACTCTTACCTCATTTCACTGAAACACAACATCTCCTCTTTGTGATGTCACTTCGTTCCCTCCCCTTCAGATTGGTGGTTTCAAGATGGGCGTAACTAACATGTGGTGATGTGCAACAGCTATCAGCCTACAACACATATGTGGAGTTTAGATTTGTTTCACTTCTACAAACAGGAACCTACACTGTCATTATTGCTGAGAGGAGAAATGGCACAAAAAGGAGTTCAGCATAAAGGCCATGAAACAGTCCCAGCTGCAGCAGAAAGGACTGAGAAGCAGAAGGAGCTTGAGGTGAGACGACTAAACATCCAGCAGAGAATCCAGGAGCGAGAGAAAGATGTGAAGCTGCTTCAACAGGAGGTGGAGGCCATCAATGGCTCTGCTGATAAAGC